TGAGACTCCAACTCAAAAAAAAAAAAAAAAAAGTATTCATTAAAGTCTTCATATTAGTTACCTTCTGTTCACATAACTAATGTGGTTTTTGTCTCCTGAGTGGGCCCTGTCTGATGCTATTACACAAGCATCTCACACACTATCTGAAGAGACTGTGGCAAAAACTTGAAGCACTGAGTTCCTGTCTGCCACTCAATCTGGCTTGAGTTAGTGTAACTATTAGAGGAAATACTCCATTCAAATGTAAAGTCTGAGATAAGTGCTGAACCAGACAGAATGCCAGGACAATTGGTATAAATTGCCACTGGCCCAAGTAAACCCAAGTGTATGATCACCTTAGTAATATGCTACATTTTGAGCGGATCTCAGGGATTCTATTCCCTGCTCTACTTTCCTACCTGCAATAAATCCAATCAAAGCACCCTTAAAAGGAAAAGATGTATTTAGAAAGAGACCTCATTACCACTCAACACTTTTTCACTTAATACTTCCAGATAACACCCTTGGAATTAATGGAGAAAATGACAGTGTTCTAAAGAGGCACTAATGGCAGTTACCAGATAATATAATAGAAGACTTTTGTTCTTTCTTTGAAATACAAAACCAGGTATACTAATTAATGTAATGCTTTACAAATTTAGGTACATGGGGTTCTATATTCCTTGGTCTGCCAAGTGTTCTACAACACTTATTTTTCATTGCTTAGTTGGGTTTTGGTAATAATCTAGGCTCAGCCTGTAATCCCACGCCTTTGGGAGGCTGAGGTGAGTGGATTGCCTGAGCCCGTGGGTTCGAGACCCACCTGGGCAACTTGGCGAGACCTCATCTCTACAATAAAAATCAAAAAATTAGCTGGGCGTGGTAGCACGCGCCTGTAGTTCCAGTTCCTTGGAAGGCTGAGGCGGAAGGATCACCGGAGCCCAGCAGGTCGAGGCTGCGGTGGCCGGGAGTGGCCACTGCACTCCAGCCTGGGCGACAGAGTGAGACTCCAACTCAAAAAATAAAATAAAATAAAAAATCTAGACATTTAAATATAGGCATTGTCTTAGTCTGTATTGTGTTGTTATAAAGAAATACTGGAGGTTGGGTAGTTCATAAAGAAAAGAAGTTTATTTGGCTTATATTTCTGCAGCTGTATAAACATGGTGCTGGCATCTGCTAGGCTTCTGGTGAGGGCTTTTGTGTTACATCCAAACATGGTAGAGAAGGTCAAAGGGGAAGTGATCCTGTGCAACGGGGGACCAAACAGGAGGAGTACATTTGCTTTATAACCACTCACTCTCAGGGTATCTCATCCATTCTGTGAAAACGAATTTCGCCTCACCAGAATGAGAGCTCACTCACTACCAGAACAGCTCTAAGCCTTTATGGGGGATCGTCACTCATGACTCAAACTGTTCCCACCACACCCCACACCGCTGCTTTGAAGATGAAATCTCAACAGGAGTTTTGGTGGGAACCAACAAACCACATTGAACCCACAGCAAGCATATTTTGGATGGCCTAGAAATCTTCTCATAAATCTGTTTTGAGTTTAGAATTGTGTTGGTACTAAGCAGTACTAATTTGACTGGGGAATGTTAATACAAAAGGGCAGAGTAGATCTAACATTTCTTTAGCTCAAAGACTAAACAATTCTTTAGCTCAAAGGACTGGCCAAATAATATTCGAGAAGGTTTGTAATTGTTTGAATAGAGAGAAGTGACAGGAAACTGAAGAGAGATTGTATTTGAGTAAATTGAATATACACAACAGCACAGACACACTGAGCTCAAAATGAATTGGAACTAACACAGAACAAATTTCAAGTTAAAAACAGGGGTTTAACTTCAGAAAAACAGCATTGCAGACCACATACAAGGAGACTCCATTTAGTCATTTAACAGCTTTTCTGTGGGAGTGAAAACTTCATACCTTAAATGTTCTCAACAATCAGATGGTAGTTTTTGTTGACATTTGTTCACTGTAGTTAAAATCCTCTTTCAACACTGAATATGTGGAACATTCTATAGTTGTCTTGTAACAATATTATTGTGGCAGGGTGTGACAGACAAAACACTGCTCTGGGAACGAGGACATACCAACCAAGGTGTCATTTCTTTTTTTTTTTTGAGTTGGAGTCTTACCCTATCACCCAGGCACGCTCATATCCACCCCAGCGTCAACCTATTGGGCTTCGGTGATCCTTCTACCTCAGCCTCCCAAGTAGCCGAAATTACCAGCTAATTTTTTATTTATTGTAGAGACAAGGTCTTGCCAAGTTGCCTGGGTTGGTCTCGAACCCTCAGGCTCAGGCAATCCACTCACCTTGGCATCCCAAAGTGCTGGGATTATAGGCTGAGCAACTGAACCCGGCCTGTCACTTCTTTTATGAATTCTTGTGAGACTCTGAGCAAATCACACAAATTGCCTCTGTTTCTCTCTCCTCTGTAAAATATTAGAAGCAGAATCAACAATATGATGCTTTCTGATGCTTATGTATTATGATGATCTGTTTCTCTGGGATTAACAGAAGCAAGTGTTTTTTTGTTTTGTTTTTTTACCTTATAGCTTCTCAAAACCAAGAAAGCCTAGTGAGAATCTCATGGCAAGCCTGGGAGGTATGTTTTTTAAAGTAGAGTGTTCATTTAACAGCATGGAGTGCAGAGATCTCAAACCACTTCAGGAAATTCCAGCTATACCTGAACCTCCATTTCTCTCTTGGACAAGTGGAAGTCTAAGTTGGAGATTCTAGTAGGCCAGACTGACAGTAGGCTAGGAGTGTGTCCTTCCTGAGGTTCATAAAGTCAAGAGCCAAGGGGTGCTGGGAAACAAACAACCAACTAGGTCAAGGTTGAATCAGGAGTTGAGAACCAACAGATACTCTCCAGTGACAATTGAAGAAATGTAAAATTAGATATAAAGCAAGAAGACAGAAGATGAAGTTGAGAATAGTTTCTGAGACTTTGAAGGGTACAACCATTCTTATCTTCTTATCAGGCAACTATGGCCTCACCAGTAGGCTGGGGGAAAGATTCATGGGGGATGAGCTGGTTCAGGGTCACTCTGAAATTGGGCTCTAGTTACCTTGAGAAATGGGCTTCCTTTTAGGGCCCAGCATTTAAATTGCCCTTACTCAGAAAATGAAGACAATTAATTCTCATGAATATAGACTTGCAGACAGATTCCTCACCTTGAAAAACAGTCTCTCATGGGGCACCTCCTTTCACATTTAATTGTATTATTCCAAAAATTGGTTTCATTCATTCTTGGATTTATCTTTGATTCTTACCATACCTTTATTCTTTTTTTTTTTTGAGTTGGAGTCTCACTCTGTCGCCCAGACTGGAGTGCAGTGGCCGCTCCCGGTCACTGCAGCCTCGACCTGCTGGGCTCCGGCTATCCTTCCGCCTCAGCCGGAATTACAGGCATGCGCTACCACGCCCGGCTGATTTTTTGTAGAGATGAGGTCTCGCTGCCCAGGCGGGTCTTGAACCTGCGGGCTTAGGCAATCCACTCACCTCAGCCTCCCAAAGGCATGGGATTACAGGCTGAGCCACCGAGCCCGGCGATACCTTTATTCTTTCATGGCTCAAGAAATCATGCCAATTCTCCCTCCTTGAAATTCCACAGAGTCATATCCTCCTGTTTCCCCTGCCTCTGTCCTGTTTCAGTTCTCCTCAAGTTTCAGTCGTACTATGTTCACCTATCATCTTACTGTGTACAGTGGCAGCCTCCTACAATAAATCTTCCATGATGTAGTCAGAGGGCTCTTTGTAAAATATAAATATGACTATGTTTCTCTGCAGCTTAAAATTCTTTAATGATTCCCCAGTCCACAAGGGAAAGAAGAAACCCACCAAGAGAGTACACATGGCTCTTTGTGGTCTGCCACTGTGGAAACATCAGAGTCTCATGTGGTATCTCCTTCCACACTTCTCTGCCATTGTAGACTTTAATTGGTTAAAGTTCTTCAATATCATGGTGCTACCTCATGCCTCTCTGCACTTGCATGCATTGTGTTTTCTTACAAAGATACTTCTGTGTACAATCCTAACCCTCAGCGCAAGATATAGCCTTGGCAAAGAAGTTCAGTCAACCAGGCATCTGCTGTAAGTTTCATAAGGAAAAAAGCATTTATCATATTTTAACCTGTTTTTCTGGTCAAAAGGAGTTGATGAATCAAGTGGGGCCCAAAGTCTGGATCTAGATCTGAGTAACAAGGGAAAATTGGTATACAATGGGGAAGTGACCTTGGCATTTCCAACTGGCAGAGCAGGAAAGTCTAGGCGGTTCCAAAGTGAATCTGCAGCCAATAGAGAGAGGTTTCAAAAACATGGAGAAAATATGGAGATGAATCCTGCTCCAAGACTATTGAGAAAGTACTTGGGGAATAGTTCCTTTTAGGATTCCACACTGGAACTGCCTGGACAGCTTTATAAAATACTACTGCCTGTTCCCTCTCCCTATAGATTCTGATTTAACTGATTTGGGGTACAGACTGGCCATGGAGATTTTTAAAAGCAGAAGTACCGAATATGACTTGGAAAGCTCTGGGGAAGCTTCCTGGAGGAGACATTATTTGTTTGTTTGTTTGTTTGTTTGTTTGAGTTGAAGTCTCACTCTGTCGCCCACACTGGAGTGCAGTGGCTGCTCCCGGCCACCGCAGCCTCGATCTGCTGGGATCCGGCGATCCTTCCACCTCAGCCTTCCAAGTAGCTGGAATTACAGGCGTGGGCTACCACGCCTGGCTAATTTTTGATTTATTGTAGAGATGAGGTCTCACCAAGGTGCAGGATTACAGGCTGAGCCACCGAGCCCGGCTAAAAGGTACATCTTATCCACAAAGGAGAAATCAACTGCTTTTTAAGAGACTGGAGTGATTATTTGCAAACATCTGTTTGGATATTTTGTGTAATTGTATGATTTTGTTACTAAAAAGATGTTAAAACTCTCATATATGAACACTTCAAAAACTTAAAAATGTAAATTTCTCAACTTAAAAATCTTTCCCCCTTTCTTCTCATATCTAGAAAAGACAATATAGAAATTCATACAGAAGCATAAATGAACACAAATAGCCAAAACAATCCTCAGCAAAAGAAACAAAGCAGGAGGTATCATACTTCTGGACTATAAAATTTATTATAATGCTACAATAATCAAAATGGCCTGGTATTGGAACAAGAATAGGTATATGGACCAATGGGACAGGATAGAGATTCTGGAAGCAAAACCTCAATTTTGACATCTTCAACAACGTCTCCACCAACAATCATTGAGGAGAGTAGAACCTATTCAGTAAATGGTGCTGGGAAAACTGGCTGACTACATGCTGAAGACTGAAACAGGACCCCTACCTATCACCGTACACAAAAATCAACTTTAAATGGATCAAAGAACTAAACGTAAAACCTCAAACTATAAAAACCTTAGAAAATGCAGGAGACACCCTTATGGAAATTGGAACTGGCAATCAATTCCTGATCAAAACCCCAAGTGCCTATGCCATAAGAGATAAGATAGACAAGTGGAACCTCATCAAACTGAGAATCTACTGCAAAGCAAAAGAAACCATCAAGAGAGCTGGGAGACAGCCCACAGAATGGGAAAAAATATTTTCTAACCGTGTATCTGACAAAGGCCTAACATTTAGGATCTACAAGGAACTCAAACGTGCCGAAAGGAAAAAAACAAACAACCCCATTAAAAACTGGGCAAAAGACACAGATAGACATTTCTTAAAAGAAGATATACGGGCAGTCAACAGACACATGAAAAAGTGCTCAGCCTCACTAATCATCAGAGAAATGAAAGTCAAAACCACATTGAGATACCACCTAACCCCAGTAAGAATGGCCATCATTAATAAAACAAACAACAACAGATGCTGGTGAGGATGTGGAGAAAAAGGAACAGTTCAGCACTGCTGATGGAAATGCAAACTAGTGCAACCTCCTTGGAAAATAGAGTGGCAAGTTCTTAAAGAACTAGACATTGATCTTCTATATGACCCAGCAATCCACCTCCTGGGAATATACCCAGAGGAATTCAAATCATTCTACAAAAAAGATACCTGCACATACGTTTATTGCAGCACTATTCATAATAGCAAAAATATGGAATCAACCGTGCTGCCCATCAAACTGGATTAGATTAAAAAAATGTGATACATAAACACAACGGAATATTACACAGCCATAAAGAAGGACAAACATGTGGACTTTGGATGGATGTAGAGTCTATCATACTCAGTGATCTATCACAGAAACAAATAACAGAGCACCACATCTTCTCACTCATAAGTGGACCCTGAACATTAACCATAATACTATAAGAAAAGAATTTGCGGCCGGGTTCGGTGGCTCAGCCTGTAATGCCAGCACTTTGGGAGGCCGAGGTGAGTGGATTGCCTGAGCCCGCAGGTTTGAGACCCGCCTGGGCAACTTGGTGAGACCTCATCTCTACAATAAATCAAAAAATTAGCCGGGTGTGGTAGCGCGCACCTGTAGTTCTAGCTACTTGGAAGGCTGAGATGGAAGGATCGCGGGAGCCCAGCAGGTCGAGGCTGCAGTGGCCGGGAGCAGCCACTGCACTCCAGTCTGAGTGACAGAGTGAGACTCCAACTCAAAAAAAAAATTAAAAAAAAAAAAGAAAAGAAAAGAACTTGCAGTAGTTGGTACTGCCAGGGTGGGGTGGGACACAACATCAATAAGGGCACCTGATCTCAAACCAGGCAAAGTGGAGACCAAAGGGAGACTCAAACTTTGCCTGTACAATGACCACTTGTATACCTAATCAATCCTGAATTGTACCCCACATCTTTAAAATAAAATATTAGAATTTTAAAAATCTTCCCCTCAAAAAAGAGGCATGGTGGACATCAAACTGTTAAAAATATAAGTACATTAAAAAAATGTTCTTTTCAAGAGCAACTGATTTTTTTTTTTTTTTGAGTCAGATTCTCACTCTGTCTCCCAGACTGGAGTGCAGTGGCCGCTCCCGGCCGCAGCCTCGACCTGCTGGGCTCCGGCGATCCTTCCCCCTCAGCCTTCCAAGTAGCTGGAATTACAGGCGCACGACACCACGCCCGGCTAATTTTTTGATTTATTGTAGAGATGAGGTCTCGCCAAGTTGCCCAGGCGGGTCTCGAACCTGAGGGCTCAGGCAATCCACTCACCTCAGCCTCCCAAAGCACGGAATTACAGACTAGGCCACCGAGCCCGGCCCAGCAACTGATTTTTAAGAGGATAAATTTTTACTAGATTTCAGTTAAAGTCTGTGAGTAATTAGTATATTACTCATATATTGATTGAAAATCAAGCGACAAGGTTTGCGACCAATGCTGCCTTTATTCCCCCAAATCAACTCATTTTCTGAGATGCCTTTCCCCCATGACAGCAACCAATCCCAAATTAAGAAATAAACTGAACTTAAAACCTGGTCTTCAAATGACAGCATTTCAAAGTGTTAATCTAAGGCAAAAACGAATGCACACGTATTCAATCACATCGCTTTCATTAATTTTTTTAAAGTCATTTGCCAGCACAGAAATGTTGCATATTTCCAATATAAAGGTGTCTCTTTCTTTAAAATGTATGTGTATGAGCCGGGCTCGGTGGCTCAGCCTGTCATCCCGCGCCTTTGGGAGGCTGAGGTGAGTGGATGGCCTGAGCCCGCGGGTTCGAGACCCGCCTGGGCAGCGAGACCTCAGCTCTACAATAAATAAAAAAAAAAAAATCAGCCGGGCGTGGTAGTGCATGCCTGTAATTCCAGCCACTTGGAAGGCTGAGGCGGAAGGATCGCCGGAGCCCAGCAGGTCGAGGCTGCGGTGGCCGGGAGCGGCCACTGCACTCCAGTCTGGGCGACAGTGAGACTCCAACTCAAAAAAAAATGTATGTGTATGTTTATATCATGTACAACACATTAGTATTTAGCGCATTATCACATATAAATTCACAGACGCTCATCGGGGATGAGTAAACTGTGTCCGTTGGGAATGAGTCAACACAAAAAACTGTGTTGACGGGTATCACGCCAAAACAGTTTGGAGACGGCTGACGGCAGCAGCGTTAACCTTTGGTTTTTCCTTTTTTTTTTTTTTGAGTTGGAGTCTCACTCGGTCGCCCAGACTGGA